CCCCAAAACCCCAAAACCCCAAAACCCCTTAATGCTTATAACTTGCTTGTAGAAGTTATAACTGAGATAAATTTATATTATATTCTTTAAGTAGTCCATCATTATATCATGCTATAATTAATCAAATCAAAGTATTTTGATGCCCTGGTTTTTCCTAAACTCTCTGAGCTATCTTAGTCTGTATTACGTATGTATAAGCTGTTCATTAACTGTTATTAGTCTTGCAGGAGATACCTACTCACTCTGTATAAATTTTTCACCTGAAAATTTCTTAGGGTCTATTCCAAATTTCTACAGATTAGCCTTTGTTGGGCCATCAAAGAGTATTGACTTTAGTTTGGCCTAACTCTCATCCTTGCGTTTGCTTCTCTAATTTTTTATTTACAATTGACTTTGAAATCTCATAGTTTATGGATAGTAGACATCAATTACTTAAGTGTTTACCTCAATTCGTTTTTAAGTCAATTTTTAATTCTTTTTGTTGCTTAGTCCAGATATTGATGTATAATCATTCAACATATAATCATTACAGAGATTATTCTTTGATTGAAAAGGATTTTGCTTTTCTGATTCAATTTCACTTCTATCATTTGTTGATATAAGTGCATTAAGTTCTTCAAGTTTAAGTTTCTTAGACTTTTTCTTTTTGTGTGAATTTAAGGCTTGTTTTGTAGCCACGCCATAATTGTATTCTTGACTTGTCTACGAGTCAAATTTTCTAGGTTTTAGAACTTTGATTTACTATATTTCTCTGTCGATATCTAATCTTAAAATTTCTTACGTTTTATCATCCTAGACTATCTAAGATTGTCTATATCTTTGCTGCTTTTTCTTGTCAATTCTGAACATTGATGAAGTTTCAGTTTCTCTGCTTCTTTCAGCATTTTGAAGCAAATAATAAGTATTGCCTTATCAGTCACTTCCGAACTAAGAAAGTTATCTAGCTGTACTGTTTTTTAATATTTCATTTTCAGTCCTTAAAGGTTGTTTAATCATAGGCAGGAATTCGACCTAACTACTTATACTTGTTTTAAATCCAGTGATATTTTCCTAAGATTTCACAGCATTTCTATTGTTAAAGCTTGAATAAAAAACATAGTCCTATGGGTTATAATCTGGAGCTTTATTTGATTTTAGCAGATAATCATTTTTTATAAGTGCGAATTTCTTGTACTTGTTATTAGTATTGATTTTAAATTTGATCCTTTATTTTGTCAAATTATGATTTTCCTGTTCTAAATTTTATTTGGATTTACTCTCATCGTCTGAGACTCTCAAATCCTAGGACTATATCATTTGTTTTTATTAATCATTTATATATTCCTCATTTATAGACTAGATTTAGTTATTCATTAAGGATTTTCGCTTTTATTAGTTCTTCTCTAAGCAAACTCTTTCTCCTAAATTTATAACATCTACTTACGATCCAGCTCTTTATCTTGTCTGTGATTGATGGTTCTGATTGAGGGCAGATTAATTTAATTGCAACTATTTATCAATTGGAAGTTCTATGGAGGATTGCTATAATTATGACTTATTATTGTCGTTTCTAAATCTGCTAAAATACATTCATGATTGCTTTTACTCCTCAAGCAAGCTGTCTACTTTGTCTCTCAGTTCAGTAATATTTTTAGGTACCTTCATTTTTTTCATTTCTTCCTCAATCATTTGCTTTAATTTCATCTATAGACTTATTGCTAATCTTCTGAAAATACTGGGCTTATTTTAAAATTCATCTGATTGATCCTATCGGTCTTTTGCAAGCTAGTCAAAAATTTTGTCTTTAAATCGTCTCGAAAGTGCCAAAATAATCTTATTCTTACTGTTTACCTAGCCTACATTTTCCTTCAACTGCTCTAATGAAACTTAATTCTAGTTCAAATTATTGAGAATCTTTTATAACTGAGTATTGTATGGGTTAAGTAAGCCATTAGATATAATTGACCAATCAGTCTTCTTTTACTCATCATACTGCATATGGACTTAAGAGAGAGCTCTTGAACCTTCTTACTTGAATCTCTCCCTCCAATCTTATGGTGATCTATATGTTATTTCAGATTACTCCTTCGATTATTTTTCCATTATAGTGATTAAAGATGATAATGTAAATATTTCTCAACTATAATATTTCTGTATCAATATTTAAATATCATAATCTATTGCTTTATTGGTAATTTGGGGTTTTGGGGTTTTGGGGTTTTGGGGTTTTGGGGTTTTGGGG